GGGGGGGGGGGGGGAGACACACCTACTGGAGTGCCACTGCCACACGCCGCCTTCCATGCCCTGCTTGCATCTCCAGTGCCGCTGGCCAGACTCCAGACAGCCCCACAGGTCCAGCTCTTCCCTCTGCCAAAGTTCTGTCCATGCTGCCCGCACAGTCACCCTCTACATCTTCCCCCTCTCCCCTGCCCCTCGGCCAGTCACAAAGCCCAGCAGTAGCTGTCTTAGCTTGGGCCACCAAACCAAAATACCACAGACCAGGAACTTAACAGGAATTTATTTTCTCACAGGTCTGGAGGCTGGAAGTTCATGGTCAAGGCGTTGGCATATATGGTGTCTCCTGAGGCCTCTCTTGGCTTGCAGATGCTGCCTTCTCGCTGTGCCCCCACAGGGCCTTTCCTCGGTGCGTCCCTTGTGTCTCTTCCTCTTCTTATAAGTGCACCAGTTATACTGGATTGGGGTGCCACTCTATGACCTCATTTAACCTTAATTCTTTCTGTAAAGGCCCTATCTCCAAATACCATCGCATTAGGGTTTAGGGCTTCAACATATGAATTTGAGGGGGGATACAATTCAGTCTGCAGCAGCAGCTGAGCGTACAAGGCTGTCCTCATTAGCAGTAGGAGACAGGCAAGCTGGAAGTCATCCTGAGAGCGTAGGGAGCCATGCAGTTAGAAGGGGACACGCCAACAGAGGAAGACCTTCTAGCCACCTCTCCATCTCTCCCTCTGTTTGCGCTTACCTGAAACCCACCCCAAGAGTTTCCCAATAATCACCTCAAGTTTTGACCTTAATTAAATAGAAAAAGCACATTTCTTACCTGGAAGAGGTGGCCATTTGGTTACTTTAGTTTGATGACATACCAGTCAACCAAGGTGAATAAGAATTTGCTGTCCTAAAAAGAATGGATAATCCCAATTTGGTTAAAACTATACACATGTGTGTATAGAAAAAAGACTAAGTCGTACACAAAAGGTCAAGAATAGTTGCCTCTGAGTGGTGTGATTCTAAGAGATTTCCACTTTATGATTTTCTTTATGTCCCACCTTTTCCACTTAGCATTTTGCAATTAGAAAAAAGTCATTCAAATCATTTAATAAAAATTATAAGAATAATTATATTTGGAAAACAATAATATATTTGGAAATCCATATGAAGATCAACATCAATTGATTACAAGGTAAACAGCTCTCCCTTCTCTTCAACAAACATAGCACTTTTTAATCTTTCTAGACACCTACCAGAAAAGAATGTTTCCAGAGCCCACCAGGTGCTCCTTGCAGGGCCACACGGCCCAATGGCAGTCCATTCCCTTCGCATTAGAAGGCTCCCTCCTGCCTGTGTATTTCACAGCTGGGAACAGACAGGAAGGGCAGCGTCAGCCTGGCTGGAGAGAGCTTCACAGCCCACCTCAGGCTCCTGGCAAGGAGGGGGCGAGACCGTGGCTGCACAGCTACTAGAGAAAGAAAATTTCCAAAGGTCCATTTTGATAGAAATATTTTAATATTATAAAACAACAGCTGGGATGTAAAATGATGCATTTGGAATTGATGGTCTTTGTGGTCATTTTTGGCTCACTGGATAATGTTAAAAAATAGGAAATCATACTGGATCTGAATCTCAGGAGTCAGGTCTCCAAACGCCTTGCCCCAACAGCTTCCAGCAGGGGGCAGCAGGACACTGTGATCTGCGACACCCCTCACTTCCATGTCAGGTGGAAACCGGGCACAAACCACCCTGCGTCTGCCACTCAGGAATGTCACTCCCATTACAGAGCTGCGTACAGAAAATGAGACTTTGAGCAAGTTAGTGGCTTGTCTCCAGAAAATCCAAAGTTTCCTCCAAAATAATCTGTTTTTCCCAATTTAGAAAGTCTCAAAGCCACCATTTTATTTGCATTCGGCTTTATTCCAAAAAAGGATTTAAGACAGTGTCACCAAATGATGATGTCTGTTTTGTCCTATTTACACGAGATGAAGAATCTGTTCCTACTTGCCCCAGGAAATAAGCCCTATTTACTGACAGGCATTTGTCTTAGCGTTTACCGAGATGGGGAATTTGATCCAAGATTGAGAACAGACTAGTTTGAAGTGATGACAATAACAAAAACTGACTTGTGAAAGAGCAAGCGTCAGGAGGCTGGCCTCTGGCTGGTTGTGGGCCCCGGGTCTTAGTGCCAGTTTGTCATTACTTGGCCTCCTCGCACGTGGGCAAGCCACTTCCTCTCTCTGAGAATCCGTTTCCTCTTCTATAAATAAGGGGACAGGGTCAGACAAACTCTGGGGTCCCTTCCGTCTCAGAGCCTGGGAACCTAAGGGCACTTCATGACCCTGCAGGAGAAAAAGCTGAAGTGTTTTGACTTTGGGCCTGGATGAGACATTGTAGCTTGGCAGGGGTGGCACTGGAAGGGAACTGTTACTGGTAACAATGTGTAAGGAGTGACTTTGTGTGGAAACCACAGCTCACCCTTCCCTCATCTGTATAACCTATTTCCAGCCTCAGCACCTCAGAACAGGGGAGGGAAGCTAGAGGGGTGTTTTTCACCATTTCTAGCCTGGAACTCCAAGCAAATGCTGGGAGGGTCCAAAGACACCTGCTCAGTGCTCCCTGGACCACTCCGACTGCCCCGAGCACCTCGTGGAGCCCTGTCTGACAAGTCCTGGTCTGGAGCACTGGCCTGGCTCATGTCTGGTCCTTGAGGGAGTACATGGCCACTTCAGTCCCCACGGGGGCACCATTCAAGACCACTCAGAACAGAACACACATGTCGTAGAGAATATCAGGCAAACACAAACATTTTTGGTTTCAATCTTTACTTTCAATCTCAAACAATCTCTTTCCTTTTCATTACAAAAATACTAAACAAATATGAACAGTTTGCCCTCATGGTTTCAGGGGAAAAATATATATGGACAGGAGGAAGACTGACATTTGCAAACAAGGAAGACTTCAACAGGCATCTCAACAATCCCGTCACCAGCACTCATGCATGAGGCACAGACATTAAGCAGGCAATTCTCAGTGATCAGAACTACGCCATAAATGCATGATCTTTTTATTTCATATAAAAATGATCGACACAAAGAAAGCCAGACTGTATGTTGATTTTACACACTCTGACCCTTCCCACTGGCCTTGCTGCCTGGCCAGGCTGGCGGCCCCACCTTCCTGGAAGGGAGAGGCAGCCCAGCATCTCAGCAGTCCACTGAGACAACAAGCTGGATGTGGCAGGAAAGCCGAGAGCACCCAGGTCTCCTTGCTTTTCCCGGGCTCGGAGGGGCCAGCCCAGTAGGCGCTGGGATCCTGGCCCAGGCTCACTGGAAGATCTTCTCTGTGCTGGCCTAGCTAGGGAGTGTGAGCAAGGCGAGAAGCTGGCCCAGGCATTTCAGTCTGATGTTTTTCCTTAGTCCCCCTCTGCCCCTCTAGGAGGAGAGATCAGTCCACTGTGCCATTGTAGGATTTGTTGAACTTGTTGAAGGTGAAGTCCACGGTGTGTGTGGAGATGGGCTTTCTGTACAGAGGGTTTGAAGCCTGCAGGACACAGAAGGGAAGAGGACATGTGTTAGGTCACTTACCCAAACCAAGACCCCCTCTAGGTCAGTCCTCAGGAAGGCACCAGGAAGAATGTGCAGATGGGAAGTGACAGCCTTGGGCTCAGGACTGATTCTGCCTCACTCCATGTCCCTTGAAAGTCCCTTGCCTTCTCTGAGCTTTCACACTTCATGTCTGAAATGAGGGGTTGGGTCTGATGGTCTCTGAGGTCCCTTCCAACTTCAACAGAAACTAACTCTGGGGATTCGGAGGGCACTTACTCCATGCTGATCCTTCAGGAGCTTGCAGTTTGCTTCGGGAGACAAGACTTACACATATGAGTACTGTAACAGACTAGAGACAATGGAGCTCCTTCCCTGTGGGTCAGACTCGCACCTCTGCCCCGCCTCCTCCCACCTGCCCTCGACTCCCTCGACCTGGGCCCTGAGCAGGGCTTTGCAACAATTCCCACCAGGGCTGTGCAATTCCCACCATCCAGAACTGGGTACAGCCTTTCAGGTGTTAGTTCTTTGTTTTTAATGCCAAAGATACTAGTGGGCCTTTACTGCTAACACAGTTGAACTCAACCACGCCTCTGGGCTTGAAGTCTTTTCTACTTCTGATTTCCCACTGCCTTACCATTTCGTAGCGGGCCCTGGATCGCTCACTTTGGAACTTTGCAAACTCTCGCCGGTCGTGGATGGTGACAAGCAGCTTCCAGATGGCCAAGAGCGCAATCCCAACCAGGAGAATGCTGCCGACCACAGCCAGGAGGATGGTCATGGCATTGGGGGCGGTGCCACACTCTGGAGGGACCAGGAGGCATGTACAGTGAGCAGAGGCAGCAGCACCCCCACTCCCTCCCACCCAACCTCAGGCCTGTCTGAGATAGAAGGTGCGCCCCTCCCCAAGGCCGTTGCCTCTGCTCTCTCTTTCATTCTTACGTTGCTTCTGGGAGACTTGTGGGAGGGGGAAGGACAGGAAGGTTTCCCCAACATGCAGAAAGTGAAAGAGTCAAAGAGAGACGGTGGCTGTCCCAAGGTCATACAGCAGATTGATGGCAAAGCCTAGATGAGCCCTGGTGTGCGGCTGCACTTCCCTGAATGGGCAGCACCTGTGCCCAGCCTGGCCCAGCCTGCCCTAGTCTCCAGGAGCAGAAAGTGAAAGAGTCAAAGAGAGACGGTGGCTGTCCCAAGGTCATACAGCAGATTGATGACAAAGCCTAGATGAGCCCTGGTGTGCGGCTGCACTTCCCTGAACGGGCAGCACCTGTGCCCAGCCTGGCCCAGCCTGCCCTAGTCTCCAGGCGGGCTTCTGGCCCAGGCTTGGCTTTCACATAAATGGCTCCAGGAGCAGACTGGGCAGGCAGGAGGCAGCCTGAGCCACTTCCACCAGGACTGGGCTGGGGCCAGCCAGCATCTGTAAGCCCTTTGTGTGGAGCCTCTCGGTGCAAATGTGCTTATTTTCAAAGGAGTGCAAAGGCAGCTCTTGGAAACAAAGCCTCCTGCTCACAGGCACTTATCCTGGGACAGTCCCACACCTCCCTCTGCCTCTGGCCCAGGAAAGCAATGTTATGTGGTTTGGCCCAATTTGGAAAAGAGTTTGCAATGCTGTGAACAGAGCAAATCTTTTTCTACTCCCTCACTCCAGAAGAATGAAAGGGCAGTGCTAGAAATCCCAATTACTCCAAGGCAAAGCCTGTTCGTCCCTGGGCCCAAAGCATGAGGCAGAACGGTGGTGTTTGGATTAAATCTTGACCTCCTCAGTGGCCCAGGGAGCCAAGTATGGCAGCAGGCAGGAATGTCTAGCCCAGCACTCTATCTGTCCTTCCTGGGACCCACACAGGGAAGGGCAGCACCCTGGCAGGGCCTGGGGTGTGCTGGAAGCTCCCTGCCTGAATGAGGCCCGTCCCTGCAGGATACGGCAGTTCCTCGCGCCCCTCAGCTGCCCTGGTGAGGTGTCTTCTCACCCCTGTGCTCTGATTCCTCCCAGATGAGTCCCTCCCCAGGGGCAGGGCCCTATCCTCCTATAACCCTCACTGCCCAACTGTGCCCCCAGAGTTCTGCCCAGCAGTGGGTCCCCAGCTCACTACTGCCTTTCTTCTAAACTCTAAGAGGGGGTAGCGGTGGCCCCAGTCTTGACCCTCACAAGGAACTGTATCTCTCTGCTATCTGGTATTTACAAATCAGGACCCAAGGCCGGCCATGTGCCAGAGCCTCAGGGTCCCCACCCACCTGGCTGCCTGAGCACCGTCAGGTTGGATTTGCCGCTGGGCAGCTCTGAGTAGGTGAACATCATGACGCAGTCCTTGGCAGTTTTGTAGAAGCAAAGCACAGCCTCCTGGTCATCTTTCACTAGAAGAAAGCCAAGTAGAAACGTCCTGAGTGTGTCTGAGCAACCGAGAGGTGCTGATGGTCAGGCAGGGAGCTGAGCACCTTAGAGAAGGAAGGAGTGACTACGCCATAAATGCATGATCTTTTTATTTCATATAAAAATGATCGACACAAAGAAAGCCAGACTGTATGTTGATTTTACACACTCTGACCCTTCCCACTGGCCTTGCTGCCTGGCCAGGCTGGCGGCCCCACCTTCCTGGAAGGGAGAGGCAGCCCAGCATCTCAGCAGTCCACTGAGACAACAAGCTGGATGTGGCAGGAAAGCCGAGAGCACCCAGGTCTCCTTGCTTTTCCCGGGCTCGGAGGGGCCAGCCCAGTAGGCGCTGGGATCCTGGCCCAGGCTCACTGGAAGATCTTCTCTGTGCTGGCCTAGCTAGGGAGGGGGTGGGGGGTGGGGCAGAGTGTCTTAAAGGGAGGCTAGGCCTTCAGACATGACTTCAGTGTTCTCACGTCAAGAACGCAGGCCCAGGGCTGAGTTTAGATTGCTTTGGTGACACGTGGAACACAGAAGATCTTCAAGCCTCTGAAGCGTTTGCTGAGGTTATGTGAAATAAAAGAAGGCTTTAGTAGGTGAGGTAGGGGTGGGGGTGGGGCATGGAATTGGCCACGGAAATTAAAAGGATGAAGAAAAGAGCCATTCCAATCCCCTGGAGACCCGAGCGAGAGTCCACACTTGGGAACAAGCCCAGTGCACCTGGGCTGAGAGCAGCAGCTCCTTCCTGTCACGTAAATCAAAAAGGTACAGGGTGATGAGGACATTTGGGTGAGACTGGTCCCCACAGTGGTGCCACAGCCTGAGATCAAGTGAGCCACTGCTGGAGGTCAGGCCACTGCCCAGCCCTACCCCAGACACCACCTGGCCTCGCCCCTTCAGGTAGAGAGGCCCCTTCCTCAGCTGCCACAACTCCTCCCTGTCTCCACGCCCCGTCCAGGCATTATCTGCATTCCAAGGTGTAAGGAAAATGGACAAATGGTCACTTGCATCTGAGTGGAGCATGTCAGCTTTGCCAACGGCTCCCAGGATCTTTCCAATACCTAGCTCGCAACCTACGTATGAGGGGCCTGTGACCCAGTCTGCAGAACGGGTTTGAAGGGTCTGTGACCCAGTCTGTACAACAGGCTTGAAGGGTCTGTGAGCCCTAGCCGGACACAAGGCTTCCCCGGGAGAGGGACAGAAGATTGGCTCTTCAAAGGGAAAGGAGCCAGGGGAACGTGTGGAGGGTGTGAAGGATGGCCAAGCGGTCCTGAGTAACAGCTGAAGCTTAGTACCATGACGTGAACTGCTTTCCAGCTCCTCCAGCTCAACCTTGTTGGCTCAAAGGAGTTTTAACCTGGGAGAAGATAAATTAGTGTGGTTTTCAAACATGAAGGCCTGGACTTCTCTCAGGCCTCTAATCGTAGCCTGGGCTGGGTGACTGTGTGTTTGCATATGAAAAATAATCTAGGAGATGGAAGGAAAGGGCAAATGATGAATTAGAACATAAACTCTCTGCCGATCCATCTCATTGGGCTGGATTGGGGAGCAGAGGTACATGCACAAGGTCCGAGTGACTCAGTCGGTGGGCCGCAGGAAGGAAACTTTTCTGACCATGCCTTGTTAGGGGGCAACTGGCCCAGGTCTGCAAGCAGTAAGCCAGGCCCTCAGCAGTGAGGCAGAAGAGGGGTCCCTGGCTGGGACTGTGAGAGGCTGGACTCTGGAGGACCCACCCCCCACTGCCTGCCCAGGAGAAGCACACACCACACCTAGCAGATCTGGGTGCTCACAAGTGTGTGCAGGATGGATACAGGACTCAACACACTCAGAGCCATGCCCTGGCCAAGCGGTCAGTCACAACCAGCGAACAAGGAGGTGTACAAAAGAGGTAAGTCTGAGTACGGTGGACAGGCGGCTGGGGGCCAGGAGTGTGCAGAAGCTGCATGGAGGTCAAGTGCAGGGGTGAGCCTGCCCAAAAGAGGAGCCTTCAATGCAGGTTCCCTTTCAAGCTACATAGTCTTTGTTATGTTTACCATTTAAACTACTTTAAAGTATACAATCATTAGTTTTAGTAAACTCACAATGTTGGATAACCATTCCAGAACATTTCCATCACCCCCAAAAGAAATCTGTACCTGTTAGCACTCAATCCCAGTTTCCCCTCTCCCCAGCCCTTGGCCACCACTATTCTACCTTCTGTCTCGATGGCTTTACCTATTTTGGACATTTCATATACATAGAATCATATATGTTCTTTTATAATGTTTTCATGGCTCATCCACGTTGCAGCATGTGTCAGTACTTCATTCTTTTTAATGGCCAAATTAATATTCCATTGTATGGATCTACCACATTTTGTTTACCATTCATGAGTTGATGGACATTTGGGCTGTTCCAACCTTTGACTATTACGGATAGTGCTGCTATGAACATTTGTGTACAGGTCTGTTTGTTTGTTTTGCTGGCTGGCCAGTACAGGGATGGAACCCTGGACCTTGGTGTTATCAGCACCACTCTCTAACTGAGCTAACTGGCCAGTCCGTGTACAGGTTTTTGTGTGAACATATGGGCCCAATTTTCTTGGGTATATACCTTGGAGTGCAATTGCTGGGCTGTATGGTGATTCTATGTTGAACTTTTTGGGAACTGCCAGACTGTTTTCCCAAAGCACCATTTGAAATGGTGTTTTCCAAAGCACCATTTCATATCCCACCGGCAGAGTGGGAGGTTCCCCCACAGTGTCCTTCTGGGGAGCAGCAGTCGTGCTGAGGAAGCCTGGGCTGTGCTTCCCAGCTCAGGGCTAAACCCATCCTCCTCCCCAGGAGGAGACAACCTCTAGGTGTCTGCCAAGACCAGGCACGCTTACCGATGGAGTCCACCCGCGTGATCACCTCGTCCTTGCACACGTGTTGGCAGGTCTGGTTGTCAGGTTTCCCTGAGTGAAGCAGCAAGCACTCGACGCAATCTCTTTGGAAAAGAGGAAATAACGGTGGTTGTCAGATGCTGTGTGACAGTTCCACACATGCCACTGAGCTCCCAACAATGCAGGTCCCCGGAGGCTTTCACTCCTTCCCTCTGCAGATGTCCGCCCTCAGGGAATGTTTCTGCTCTGCTCTCTTGTTATGCAGGGAAGCCCGCGGGCTTGCACATGTGAGTTTAGAGGCTTGTCTGGTCTATAGCCAACCTGCAAGCTGTAGACCTTCCAAATCCTGACACCAGGAGCCAAATCCATCCACTGTGGTACATGAGAGGCCTGGCTGAGGAGTCTTCTCCCAGCCAGAGGTTTCTGGGTGATAGAAACTATATTCCTGCCCTGGGAGGGGTCCTCACGCTCCCACGGCCAGTGCTTGATGCCCCCTCATTGCCCAGGATCCCACCCAGTCATCACCAGGGCTGGGCTCTCAACCCTCTTGCTTGCGAGACTCTCCAGGGGCTTTCAAGAGAAAATACCCATGCCTGGGCCCAAACATACCCCTGGAATCTGCATCTCTGGGGCTGGGCTTCCTGGCGGTTCTAACACACAGCGAGGGCTGAGAACCTGGTAAGTCTGGGCCCCAGCCCCCTTCTCCCTCCAGACACAGCCTGCCTGCCAGGGTCCCGAAGGGCCCTGCTGTCCACTTACCTGTTGCTGGGTCTACACTAGACTTTGGTACAGGCTATAGGGTGATGGCTCCCACTCAGGGAACCCACATTTATACAGGGGCCTTCTCTAGAAAATGGATGAGGAGCCAAAAAGAGACACTCTGAGTCCCTCTCCTCTCACCTCACGCTGAGATGTAAACCAGATGATGTGTGAAAATGCTCAATTAAATGGCTATGATTATACTTTACACAGTCAAACCCATTCCAGACATTCTCCCTACATCATCAATTCTGTCAGGAGAAGCCGCCTCCTGAGGACACAGCGCGGGGAGCTGAGCTTTGGCTAAGGGACTGTGGAAGGAAGGAAGGGACCCTGACTCGACTGAGGGCTAGAGCTGAGCATACACGGGAAGGTGAGAAGTGAACTCCAGGGAGGACTGGGTTGGGGCAAAGCCACCCACTGACGGCTTGCTCTTGGGAACTCTGATGCACTGGTGCTCAGTGGTCTGCAAGGAGGGGACAGCCCCCAAGAGAGTCCTCTAGGAACTGGGTTAAGACTCGAGAGCCGGTGTGCTGGGTCGCCGGCCCTCAGGGCTGCCCTGGGAGAGCCGCTGTGGGGGTGGGGTGGGGTGGGGCGGTCACCTCTTGGTGCTGCAGGCATCCGGGCAGGTGGGGCACTTCTCACATGTCTCCCCAAAGGCTCCTGGCTCTGTGCACTGGCACTGCCCACAGACGCAGTGCCCACGGTCGCTGCAGATCTGGCCGTCCTTGGCCCGGCATGTGCTGATGTCAGTCGAGCAGTTACAGCTGTCACCGATGTAACCTACGTGGCACTTGCATTCTCCACAGTGACACTCGCCATGGCCTAAAAGGACACACGTGGCACATCAGGGCCTTTCTGACTTTACTCATGAACACATAATCAGCCAGTGCCCACCACATGCCAGGCCCGGGGGATCCAGCAGAGCAGGTGACACTGACTCCACCCTTGGAGCCTGCCTGTGGAGACAGATGGAGAGGCCCAGTGCTGCCGTACACGCGCCACAGACTCTGCAGCTGTGTGTCCTGGCAGGGCCTGCCTGGTGTTCCAGGTTGGTCCAGAACTTGGCCAAGTCGAGCCATAGGGCCAGGACTCAGGAGAGCGTCTTCCTGCCTCAGTTGTATGAATAATGGCCCCCAAATATGTTCACTTCCTGATCCCCAGAACCTGTGAAGCGTGACTTATATGGCAAAAGAGACACTGCAGATATGATTAAGGATTTTTTTTTTTTTTTTTAAAGATGACCGGTAAGGGGATCTCAACCCTTGACTTGGTGTTGTCAGCACCACGCTCAGCCAGTGAGGAACCAGCCATCCCTATATGGGATCCGAACCCGGGGCCTTGGTGTTATCAGCACCTCACTCTCCTGAGTGAGCCACGGGCCGGCCCTGATTAAGGATAACGACATGGGGATTCTCCTGGGTTGTCCAGATGGGCCCTAAATGCAATCCCAAAGGTCACTGTAAGAAGTGAGAGAGGGAGACTTGACTACAGAAGAAGAAGGCAGTAGGACAACAGATGCTCCGCTGCTGGCTTTGGAGACAGAGGAAGAGGCCACGGCCCGGGAATGTGAGGAGTGCGGTCTGGAAGCTGGAGAGGCGAGGAGAGGAAGCAGCGCTCCCCTGCGGCTGCTGGAGGCTCCGTGGCCCCGCCCACACCTTGACCTCCACACTGTGAGAGGAAAAATCTGTGTTGCTTTTAGCCACTAAATTTGTGGTGATTTGTTAACAGCTACAATAGAAAACGAGCACGGTTGTCCTCCCTCAGTCCTAGTGAGGCGGTGAATTCTTGCTCTGGCCTTGGGACCCGCAGCCCAGAAAGGGATGATTTAGGAGCAGATGCCGAGAGGACAACAGGAGCACAGCTAACACGTGACACTGCTTTCTACACGTGTGCGTCAGGCGCTGCTTCCAGTGCTTTGCCTATGTATGCAATTAACTCTTACAGGAGCCCGGTGAGGGAGGTATTATTATTATTGCCCTAATTATACGAGTGGGGAAACAGACACAGAAAGACAAGCAACCGTGGAAGGTCATACAGCTGGTGGCAGCAGAGCCAGGACACGAGCCCATGGAGTCTGGCGCCAGGAATCACTTCCTCCTGCGAGGGTTCCCCGACCACAAGGATCTGCTGAGGAGGGCCTGGCTCTCCCTTGCAGGAGGGGTCTTTCACAGCCTGCAGTGGGAAGGGCTGGTCATCATGGGCAGGAGTGTCACTCGACCGTGTGTGTGTGCCAGATGGTGAAAAGCATGGACAGTGCCATCTAACAAGGGGCTGAGGGCCTGACAGTAGGTTCTTGATGTTCCACTCTATCAGAGGCAAACACAGTGCTACACAAGACACTTAATTTTTAAAAAACCTACTTTGTACTATTTTTGCAGTGTATTTTCCTTCTTAATGCCATTTTGCTAAGACTGATTCTAAAAAAATCACAAGGGTGCATTGACTGAGTACCTACCCATAAACTGGTGAGAGACTGGAGAGGTAGGGGAGAGGGGAGTCCTATAAAGGTGGTGGTGGGGTGTCTTTACATTTTACTTCCACACCTGCGTCAGCCAGTTGTCCTGGTAGTTGGATTGCAGCACCTTCCCTGTGACCAGTGAGTGTGACCCACTGTTGGAAAAATGGAATAATTTAATCAGGTCCCCACACCTGCCCATCTGGTTGGGGGTGGTGCAGTGCATTCTTTGTAAGCATATTGTGTGTGGGGGTGGAGTTAGTGCACATGCACAGTGCCACAACTTGGCTGGCATCTGCCTTAGGCATCTGGCACACGTGGCCATATTCTCAAACCTATGGCTTCCAAGGACCTGTTTGCTGGTTACCCAGCTCATAGACCTGCATGTGAGGGTTCTGGTGACCCAGCCTCGAACAGGCTTGAGGGGTCTGTGAGCTCCAGACCCAGCCCTAGCTTGACGATTGGCCCAGTCAGCAGGATTATGGGCAAGCAGAAGAGCGCTACACCCACATATAGGTCAGGACCTAACTCTGGAGAACCTCTCCACCTGCCACTTCCTGCTCCTGCTTCCCCCGGCTCTGTCATGCCTAGAGTGCAGGGGTAGGAGACCATCTGGAGCAGCCAGGCCTCCATCCGTGCGGGACAGGAGGGCCCTCCCTTTCCAAGGCGACGCCGAGGCATGCAGCAAGCCCTGCGGGAGAGTGAGGAAAGCCAGACCCGGGCGCGGGAGGCTGTGGAGTGCAGTTCTAACTGCTCGGAAAGTGGCATGGGACATGTGAGCCACAGGAGGGAGCAGTGCCCCGCTGCTCAAGGGTTACACGGTAGGGGCTAGGGGGAGGCCTGCCCTGCCTCCTTCTCGCCACCAGCCTGCGAACAGCACCAGTTTGGAGCCGTGGCAGCAGGAAATCCCCACAGGAAGTCTTCGCCAATGAAATGGATCCAATATGCACACCTCCCTCATGCTCTGGCCTCAGGGACTATGCTGGGCAAGAGTCTGGTTTAAATTAAAAGGGCTCATTGTTGGGGGGTAACTCCCCCCTTCCCCAACACTTTATTAGGAACATTTCCAAACCTGCAGCAAAGTTGAAAGGATTGTGCAGTGAGCATCCACATACCTGCCACCCCTTTCTACCACTGGCCTGCTACGTGTCACTTATCACCATCCATCTATCCATGCATGTCTTGAAAAAGTGCATTTCAGGGTGAGTTGCGGACACAAGTGCACTTCAGGGGTAGGTTTTTAATTTGGTTCTGGCACTCTCCAATGGCTGGTACGTCACACCACCCCATAAAGCAAAAATACAAAAAGTAAAAGGCACGCTCAGTGTCGTATTTACAAGCAACAAAGACGGTGTTCAGGCCAGGCTGGAGGGACCGTTTTGCTTGAGATGGCGAGTGTTGTTTTCTTTCCTGCTCTGTTTTTGGCAGCAATATAAAATTATCCGAATATAACCTGACACAATATTCTGATGTGTCAAAGATTTGGAGAGGCAGTATATTACTTTGTTGAAGGTCTCGGGTTTGGGGTGAAGTGTGTGTATTAGAGGGGGAACTTGCTTCCCATGTGACTGGAATCTACGTGAAAGGACTGCTCACTGCAGAGTGACAGCAAACCAGGCAGAGGTGCCTGTTACTCTCTACTTCCCACCATGACGGCTGAGTGGCAAATAAACCCAGCTGCTTTGGGTACATCTGACACTTTGCAGGCCTAAGAGCTGCAAAACCCAGCTCAAGGTCAATGCAGTTGATTCTGCCCCAAATCCAGGGTTCAAGGAGCAAGGAGTTAGGAGTCAAGGGTAGGAGAGAGTGGGAGCAGATGATTCACCAGAGGTCACTGTGGTTTTTTGGAGATAGACAGACCCCACCACCAAGGATGCAAGCAGTTCCTGAAAGCTTCCTACAACCCTTGAGCACAACCAGGACACGCAGATGATTCACCAGAGGTCACTGTGGTTTTTTGGAGATAGACAGACCCCACCACCAAGGATTCAAGCAGTTCCTGAAAGCTTCCTACAACCCTTGAGCACAACCAGGACACAGTAAGAAAGCAACAGTGTGCAGAGATCCTGCGGCGTGGACACAGCAGAACATCTGGGCGCAAGTTGGGGTTGGAGGAGTGAGCAAGCAGGAGCAGCCGAGTGGCTGTGGGACATCAGAAAACCCTCACCTCCATGGCCAGAAGCCTCCAATATTTGATGACTCCAAAGCAAAGTCTCACAAGCCAAACTAGGGAAGAAGCCCCAGGCTCCATATTTGGTGAAACTGCTGAAGCCATGAGAATTCTTATCTTTAGTGACTCACAATAGTCCCAGTGAGGTTTATATGAAGTAGTTCATTGCTTTTCAAAGACAGCTAAAAGCAGCTATGGCAAAGGTGTGGCCCATGTCACTGTGGCCTCTTCACCCTTGTGGCAGACACTACTGTCTAATCACAGGATTCTTTTAAAGGGAGCCTGGGCTTGGCCTCAGAATCCTTAACACAGTACTCCACGTAGGCTCTACAACTGGTGGGAACTGACCCACAAGATACAACTATGTGCCATCATGGTTTAAAGCTTCCAAGTCCCCTTTAGAAAGCACGACCCAAAGAGAGTGTCAAAAACTACAGGGGTCTGGCCACATTTCATTCTAATCCAAATGTCTCAGACCCTGCAGTTGGACCTCAGCCTGCCTTTCCCTCAACCTGCATGCTCAGAGATTCCCCACATCTTCTGGTCAGCCCTGGCCTCTCCTAACGCTCTAGGAGGAACACAAATCGTTAAAATGACAAGGGTCATTTGGCCCTGTCCCAAGGATCAATAACCTATCAATCACCAGTCATGGGGTCTGGGGACACCATCGTGATAACGCCCAGAGAACCTAAGCAAGGACTCTTCATCAAAACAAAGCTAATTTAGAATGCTTTTTTGGCAAAGTGAGTTGAATTTAATGATGCCCATTTATACTGTGCAGGCATAAAAATATTTTCATGACACATAGGGATATAGAAGGGCATGTGAAAGCACTGTGTAAGATGTGAATTGCTACACGTGCAAGTTATTATTAGAACTACCTTTGTTAGAATGATTGATAGCTAAATGGACAGGAAGTTGTAAATGTGCCTATTTATACAGTGTCAGCTCTCCAGAATTCAGCAGCTTTCCATCAGCAGAACAGTGTGTGGGCTGTGGGCCAAGACACAGCCCCCCACCTCCTCTTATAAAATCTAGTGCCAGCTATTCAGACGGAGGGGAGGCTGTGAAGAAGCTGCCAGAAAGGAGGGAGGGGAACTGTGGCCTGGAAGCCAAAGGAGCCAGGGACAGGAAGCCCCAGCACCAACGCTCTCTAGAGGTCCTGAAGGGCAAATCCCACAGCGGCTATGGGGTTTC